CATATATAGAAAGAAAAAAGCTTTATTGTGTCCCTGTAGCGCAATGGATAGCACGTTGGACTTTTAATCCTAAGGAATACCATCAGGATTCGAATACCATCTGGGATGGCCTATTTTCTGATAATGTATTTTATTTTCTACTATATGATTTTATTAGAATAATGAAATTTAATAAATGAATAAAAAGTAACAAACAAAAAAAAAGTCCAACACCATATATAGAAAGGAAAATGGAAAATCGCTTTCTATTTTATCACTTAATATTGTGATTTTGTCATATACATGTACATATTTATATTAATTGTAACTATTTAATATAAAGTAACTAAGATAAAATGATTCTTTGTTGACCTAAGTAGGAACTGATTTAATTTTTTTATATATTACTTGTTTTTTTTTTTAAAGTAAAGCCCATTATAAATATTTTTTTTTCTTCTTCTAGTCAAGAAAGTAATACATAGTTCAACATTTTAACATACGCTATTTTATGTCATAATTTATTAAATTTATTTGGTGTGTAGAAACTATATTTGTGAATTTTAAATATCAGGAGGGGAAGGCAGCCTCTTTGAGGAAATTTTGTCGAAAAAGTCTGCGGGAAAGATCAATCTCTAGGGGAAAACAGCGTAAAAGAGTAAAGCTTATATCCTACGAAAAAAAATGATTTGAACTTTACTTTTTTGGACGTATAGATATAAATTTACACAAATAATAAATTTTAGAACCCCATGTGGAGGTTTTTAGAAGGCTTTATATATATACTGTTCTAAAATGCATTTTCATGAAAATGATACACGTTTCCGTAAACTGTCTCTTCAATATACAGCTAAAATATTTATTGTATGTTTCGGTTACAATATTCTCTTGGCAAGCGGTAGATATTTGTAGTAGATTTTTTAAAGCCTTCTTTAAAATTTTTATATATAAATTCAGTTCCATTTGAATTTAAAACCAATTCTTATACTATCCATTATTTTCTAATGATCTGACTATTTAATTTTGGAGATTGAGATATCATCGCATACATTTTTGTTATTTGTGTAAATTGACATAATCTTACATTTCTGTTTTTATAAGTCTGTCATTAAGTTAAACTTTCTTCAAATTCAAGTTATGTAATGTTTAATATTAAAGAAAATCATAAGTTGCTATATTATTTTATGTGTGAATTTATCAAATGTGTGTGCTAATATATTCCGTAAAGTAAAAGTTTTCATTTAATAACAAAAGCTCTTTTTTTGCATAGCTTTTGCGAAGAATTCTGTGCGAACATTATTGCTAGCATAAATTAAAAAGTATCTCCTAACTGATAAATTTTCAACGGATAACTAGTTTGTTGCTTCTTATTGTATTGTACCTCCAAAATATGTTTAATTTTAGAACACCCCACGAAGGCCAGTAGAGCGTTAACTAATTACCCCTTAAACGTGTTTCCTTTCAAACATTTATTTTATTGCATCTTATATTTACGCTTTTCTTCATAAAGTTGATTCAAATCCATATTATTTATAATTTTTTCATTGTAGTGATCACACCCAAAAGATAACCCTCTGTATCGAAAAATCTTGTTATATTAGTAAATATGCGCATGAACTCCTATATGACCAATAAGGCGTCATTAGAACTTGTTGCGTGAAGCATGTGATAAATAAAAAGTGGCCATAATCCTGGTTTTATGAGAGTCGAAGGATCCATAATTTAGTATTGTTGCATGATGTGTAATGATCTTGTGCCGAGGATGGAAAGAGAAAATACGTTGATCAGATCTTTTTCATTCATCTCATAATTATATAGTAAATTTCTATAATAAGAATGTCATATAATCATGACCAATAGTACATTTTTACGAGCGCAATTCTAGTATGTGGAAAAGTTAAAGATATATGTTTCCACACACACATCACAATTAATACATATATTAAGGCTCTTATGCCAAATATCTTTTAGAGATGAAATGGATATTTCCCTTTTCGTTTATGCTGGTATACATGCATACATGCATGTAACTAATCATATGTTAAATCGTTATAGATATTATCTAATGTTAAATGATTTATATTATTCATAAAAATATATCAAAATAACCCATTGTTATTTACACTTAAAACTATTATGTAAATTTATTTTTAAATTTCGAAGGAAGAGAGTCTGTAATCTAAGAGTAAAAGGCATACCTATTTTAAAGTTAAACAATTAACAGAAAATAGGATGCATTCGGAAAAAAACATACACTGAAGAGTCCTTATATTTTGACCACCAGTTTAATATGAAATATATATATATATATATATATATATATATATATATATATAG